TCGTAGCTGCTCCTCGGCCCGCTCCCTCTCCTCTCTGGCCTTCTCTGCGGCCTCTTCGGTGAGCTTCTGCTGCTGTTGCTCTGCTTCGGCTTTCTCGGCTTCGAGCTGCGCCAGGCGGGCGTGCAGCGCCTTGGCCTCGTCGGCGTGTCGGTCGGCCTGCTCGTCCCTCTCCCGCTGCAGCACGGTGAGGTCGGCCTCGAGCTTGCTCCTTTCGTCGTCGGCCCTCTCCCTCTCGTGCTTCGCGCGCTCGAGCTCGTCGTCGCTCTGTCGCTTCTCGTCACGCAGCTGCCGGAGCTGCTCGTGCAGGGCGTCGAGCTCGCTCTGCCGCTCGGCTGACACCGAGTCGCTCCGCTTGCGCCGCTCGCGCAGGGCCTCGGCCTCCTGCTCGAGCCGGGCCACCTCCTCCTTAAGCACCTCCGCGCGCTCTGCCTCCTTCGCGCGCTCCTGCTCGTCGCGCTTGCGCCGCGCCCTAAACTCCTCGACGACGCCCTCCAGGCGCTTCACCTCCTCGTGGGCTAGCGTCAGCTGCTCCTCGCGGAGCGTCAGCTCCTCCTCGCGCTTCTGCCAGTCCGCTGCCAGCGCCGTGAGCTCCTCGGCGTACTTGGACACCTCCTCGCGGGCCACGTCCAGCATGCTGGCCAGATCGTTCCGCTCCTCGTACAGCGAGGCCGCCTGGGCCTCCTTCCGCTTGAGCGCGTTCTCTGCCTGGGCCGACGCACCCTCCGCGTTCTGCTTGTCCTGCTCGAGCGAGAGGTGGAGTGGTTAGGGGAATGCGGGGTTGGTTGCAGCCGGGATGGTGGCGTGGTGGTACCTGCTGCAGGTCGCGATTGAGGGCGCGCAACTGGTCCAGCTCGGCGGCCTGGGCGGCCAGGCGTGCCTCGAGCGCTTGCAGCTGCTCGTCTTTGCTGGCGTGCTGACCCTGCCCCTGCTCCCGCTCGGCGTCGAGCGCCTGCTGGAGCCTGCTCACCTGGTCCCTGTGCGCGGCTTCGACCTGGCCCAGTCGCTCCCGCTCGGCGTCGAGCGCCTGCTGGAGCCTGCTCACCTCGTCCTTGTGCGCGCCTTCCACCTGACCGAGTCGCTCGCGCTCGGCGTCGACGGCCTGCTGGAGCGCCTGCTGGAGCCTGCTCGCCTCGTCCTTGTGCGCACCTTCGACCTGGCTGAGTCGCTCCCGTTCGGCGTCGAGCGCTCGCTGGAGCTGCAGCACCTCGTCCTTGTGCTCGGCCTCCACCTGACCCAGTCGCTCCCGCGCGGCGTCGAGCTCTCGCTGGAGCTGGAGCACCTGGTCCCCGTGTGCAGCGTCCGCCTGAGCATTGAGGCGCTCGCGCTCGGCGTCGACGGCCTGCTTGAGCCTGAGCACCTCGTCCTTGTGGGCCGCGTCGGCCTGGGCGCGCTTCTCCTCGCCCTTGGCCTTGTCCTCTTCGACTTTCTTCTTGAGCTCCTGCAGCTGGGCGCGTAGCGCTTCCTTTTCCTTCTCCGCCTTCTGCTTGACGTTGCGCACCTCCTCGTCTTTGGCGGCAGCGCTCTTCTTCTTCAGCTGCTGCTCGAGTGCCGCCTGCTCCTTCTCCTTCTTGAGCTGCTGCTGCTTGGCCTTCTCGGCGGCCTTGGCTTCATCTTCGCAACGCTTGTTCAACTTGCTGATCTCGGTCGATTGGGAGGCGAGGAGCTTGCAGGCCTCATCGATTTCGGCCTGCTTGCTCTTCATCTTCTCGAGCAGCTCACGCTTCTCCTCGGTGAATCGATCGACCTTCTTGTGTAGTGCCGTCATTTCATCGAGTAATTTGGGATCGGTGGTGTTCGTCTTCTTGCGAAAGTACCCCAGCCAGACGTTGGCCAGTAGGGAGATGGCCAGCAGCACCTGCTGCACGAGAGACGCCCACATGATTGTCCCTCGTTGACTACGCGGCAGATGGAGATGGAGACGTTGAAGATTGAAGAGCAGTGACGATGTTGCAGTGACAGGAGCAGAAGAAGAGGCAGAAGGGCCTCTCCGAACAAGAGAGACGAATCGATCCAAACCTCTCGCCCACTACTGTCACTCTCTTTAGTTATGGCAACGCCACAACTCTTGTTCGGCCTGGCTGGGAAATGAGTTGGAGTTCGTAAGGGTTGTCGCTTGCGCGCTGCGTGGTGTCCCCTCGCCCAACAAGCTATGCGACGCAGGCAAACAAAAATTAATCTCAAATATATATGAAAACGATTAGCAAAATAGCAAATAATTTGGATGTCGAATTCTGTGCTAGTTTTCTTTTATTTCTTTGATGCCCTAATCGGTCCTTGGCACCATTAAATAATTCCCTTTTTCGTCCTTGGCACTTAGCGAGGATTGGCATGGGCAATAAATAAAAGGTTTTAATATTACAACTACTGCTGTGGGCGCAGGGTCATGACCTCGCCGCTCTTGTCGGTGAGTAGGTGCGATATGAAGATCTCGACCGACTCTGGGCTCATTTCTCTGTCCGTCTGGTGGCCCGTCGTCGGCTGTGGCCAGGAAGGATGCGTGGTCGAGGCAGTTGTGACGAAGGATGGCGGCTGGTGCTGGGCGATCGGATAGGGAGGATAGGAGAACTGCTGGTGCTGTTGGTGCTGATGTGAATGATGTTGATGTTGGTGGTGATATTGGTGGTGGTGTTGATGCTGGTGGCCGTGTTGGTAGTGCTGCTGCTGCTGGCCGGGCAGGAATGCCGACGCCTGGTTCGCCGACGCGGTCGACGATGCGTGGAGGAGTTGTGGCGCGGGCGCGTAGGCGTACGAAGCCGGCGTGGGCATCGAGAAGGTGGAGGTCGTCGTGTGGCCGTGGGCGAGCAGGAGGCTGGTCATGGTCTGCGAGTGTATGGGCAAGTTGCGGCTGGCCTCGAACGGCGAAGGCTCCGCGGGCGCAGCCGCGCTCTCATGCGCTGGGTAGTGGGCCGGGAACGTGTGTGCGTGGTGTGCGTGGGCGTAGGCCGGGACGATCGCGGGCGGAGCGGCAGCAACGGCGTGGGGAGCGATCTGCTCCCTGTCCACCGTGGACACCGCCATCATCGGGGTGGGCGGGTGCCGTCGGGCCGGCTTCTCCTCGGTCTCGGCCTCGGCCTCCTCCCTGGGCTCGGCCTTGACGAAGTCGGCCAGGGCCGTCGACGACGCGGGCTGGTAGGAGAAGAACATCTCGGCCGACGATGACGTCAGCGACGGCGGCGCCTCCGACCCGAGCTCCGACGAGTCGTCGAGCCGCCGCTTGGTCGCCGGGCCGAAGGGCGGCAGGCCGGCCGACGTGCCGGCGAGCAGCGGAAAGGCCGACGACGAGTGCAGCATCGACGACACCCTGATGACGCTCGACGCCGAGAGGTCGATGTCGCCGCCGCCCAGGCTCAACCCAGTCGTGCTGGTGGCGAGGCTGGTCGGCACCGGGGCTCGCTCGGACGGGGTGTGGCACACGGGCGTGTCGGTGCTCGACTGGAGGTCCTTGTCCTCCTCGTGCTTGCTCTCGGCGGCGGGCTTGCTGGTCGTGTCGGGCAGCGATGGCGACGCGTAGCAAGACGAAGAAGATGAAGATTCGTCCTCGCTGTCGCTCCAAATGCTGGTCGCCCCGGCGCTCGGGGTGCCCCCGTCTATTTCATCTTCCTCCGCTGCTTGTACCATCGAGGAAGGTTGTTGTTCTACATAGTCACCATCTTCTTCGTCGTCGTCGTGCTCCTCCTCCTCTTCCTCGCCGCGTCGCGATCTTCTCTTCTTCTTCTCGTTCGTGTCTACCTCCTTCTCTTCGTCGTCGTCTGACAGATGCGCCTTTTTCTGGGCGGCGGATGTGCTTCGCTTTCGCTTTTTGGGCGGGCCTCGACTGCGACCGGAACATCTCGCCGAGGCAGCCTTCGATCTTTGTGCGGTGCCGCTGCCACCGTCCTCGCTACCGCCGTCCTCGCTGCAGCAGTCGTCGTCGTCGGTGGCCACGGCGGTGGCCGACAGCGCAGGGCCAGCTCCGATGGCGAGCGGGGAGTCCTGGCGGTAGGCCACATCGCAGTAGTGCCACTTCTTGGCCTTGACCCGGCGCACCAGGCGGCGCACCTGGACATGCGGGAATATGGTCTTGAAGATTTTGCCGAAGGTGGCATCGTTGGTCGTCTGGTAGTTGTGGGCACGGCAGAAGGCGACGTAGGCGTCGAAGATGTCCCGCTTGGCCACGCATCCGCCCTTTTTGTCCTCGAAGTTGGCCTCGATCCTGGTTTGGACCCCAGCAGGAGCAGGGAGGAGTTAGTGGAACTGGGTGGATCAGCTGAGCTGGTGGCGAAAGGAGTTGTTGGGCAAAGAAGAGGCGCTGAACAAAAAAAAGCGAACGGGAAAGAACGAAGAGTTCACGACGCACCACTCCTTCACTTTGGGCAGGGCCTCCGAGCGCTTGAGCATGGCGGGCAGGAGATGGCGGCAAGGCAAAGCAAACGTTCGTCTTTGTGTGGGTGAAATATTCCTGTTCTGCTCGTCCTCGAGTACCGCATAATTTGCTCTTCTTCGTGGCGGCCAGTTAATTCCCCCCAGTATCACCCCATCGCAGCCTCATATCTCCTCAATTTCCCCCCAAATCAATGAACGGGCGAAGCTGGGTAAATTCCCTGTTTCACTGCAATTGCGGTCAAGAAATTTCTCCCCTGCCACCGTGACCCCAAAATCTCTGCTTAGAGCTTTGCGCAGTAATTGCCACGTCATCATGCCCGCGGGAGTGGCGGCGCGTCTCAGCTTTCCTTATTCCCATTTCTCATCCACCAATGAAGTTTTCTTTTCTTTTCTTTTCGGAGTACATGCCACGTCATCCGCTCTCTTAGTACGCTTCATAACTTAAATATTGCCGAGGGAGAATGGCAACAATTTACAACCGGAACTTCAGCAGACCCCCTTTCCTACTTGGCTTGTTCCTGGCACGGGCACCAGTAATTCCGGCAAAGGAACAGGGCACAGACGCACCATCGGTTTTTTTCATTCGGCACGAGACCCCACACCAACTCCATCTTCCCACCTACCGCCACACGGCCGAGATGGATGCTAGTGCGCGCGGCAGCGGAGCCGGGTCGTCGTCCACTGCCATCATCCTGTCCAGCCGGGAAGAAGCCGTTCCCCACGTCGTGTCTTGGTACCTCGTCTCTCATCTATCATCCCCCCCTCTCCTCCGCGCAATATAAGGGGACGATAAAAAGACCCCTCCCCTTTCTTCGTGTTGTCCTACCCCGCTATGATTTATTTATTTTTTCATCTATCCTTTTTTCGGCCTGGAATTCTTCTGCTTTTATAGACAATTCCACCTTCCGCGCCATTTTTTTATTTTAGTTTTCTGTGCATCTGTCCTTTTGTGCCCGTCTGGTGGCCGGGGCGTTGTGACGTCGTGTGTCGTGTCGCGTGTGCCGTGTGGCTGATGGCTGACGCATCAACATTCCTCCTGTTCTGTGGTGGGTGGTGGCTCGCCACACAGGCTGGCACAGACCTACGGAGAGAAGGAGGGCGCGACGTTGCTTAAAAAGAACGTGTACCAGGCCTACGTGAACTTTTGCGGCGAGAACAACTTTGAATGCACCAACGCAGCGTCGTTCGGCAAGATCTTCAAGCGCGTGTTCCCGCGGGTCCAGATGGCGCGCTTGGTGGTGGACAAGGGCAAGAAGGGCTGGCACTACAGCGGCCTCACGGTCAAGCGAGGGCCGCAGGCCACCGCTGCCAACAGCGCCCACCACGGCCTCTCGGCCGACTCGTTGATCGGTAGCCACGAGGAGCAGACGGCCGGGCGGCGCAGGCGCAGGGAAAAGCGGCCGTCATCACCCAATCGGGGCTATCAGCAGACTTTCAGGGTCGACGACGGCAATCGGTCAGCCGCGGCATCCATCAACGACTCATCGAGCTACGTCGAACGCGGTCTGTCTGCGGCGCCTTCATCCACACAACAAATGGCGCTCAGCCTCATACTGTCGGCATCATCAGCGCCCGATGTCGACACTTCTTTCACTCACCCTACCTACCCACCACCACCGTACAACCGACCGGCTTCCTCGAACGTCGAATCCATCTTCCCTCCTCCCCACGGCTTCCACTCGGCCCCCTCCAATCGGCCTCTCTCGTCGGCGGTCGATTGGAGCAGCGCCACGCCAATCAATTGCGGCAAGCGAAAGCGCTCGACCGAGAGAAACGAAGTGTACCTCGCCGGCGGCGGTGGTGCCGGTCACCACGTCACCGACCTGCTGCCGGGCGAGTACGCCCCCGGGGAACGCCGGGCTTCGTACGCCGACTATGTGCCGCTAAGAGCCGACGTCGACGGCTTGAAGCGACCGAATAGCGGCCTGTGGCCGCTTGACACGGCGCCGTCTCCCGCCACCCCTGGCCCAATGTCGCCCGCAGTAGCGGGTCCCTCCTCCTACTCTCACTCCGCCGACAACAGGCAACGGCAGCACTCAACCGAGGCCCGCCGCTGCGGCGTGTGGAACTCCAATGCCCACCTCTACCTCATTGAAACCCTCCACCAGTACTGCCGCGTCTTTCGACAGGAGTCCTGGCCCGCCTTGTGCGTTGCCCCTCGTCTCCCCTTAATGGCGCGGTTGGCTCCGATCCGACGCTCGCTCGCTCACGTGCTATCTATGTCTCCTCTGTTGTGCAGTCCAATCAACCCGGCTTGCCTGAAGCTCAGCAACGTGCAGTATGTGGTGACTTCCGAAGACGGCGCTCTCGAGCGAAGCCCGCTCGCTCTCTGTACATATTTCGCGCTCGCCTGCGGTACATACACGCCCCGCCTCGCTTTGTCAAGGGGGTGCGATCAATTGCTCACCGATCGTCACACACGCATGTGCAGGCAGCATGGTGGTCGGCAACCTGCAGCGCTCACGAGAGTTTTGGGTCAAGTCAAGGTGCGCTTTCCTCTACGTCCCCCCTCTTGATCTGGCGGTGCACGAGCCAACAAAACAATGGAAACAATGGAATGTGCTGAAATGCAGGGAGCTGTTGGGGGAGCTGTTCGATTCGAACGACTACGACGTGGCGTGCGTGCTGCGACACAGCGCCAACCTGTCGCGCGTGCTGGATGAAAGCGAGGGTCGGATGGCCAAGGGCTTCTGCTACCTGACCATGAGCAAGCAGATCTGCGAGCGAATCGGGGCGGTGAACGACGAGAACTACGAGCTCACGCTTAAGATGATGAACGGCTACTACCGCGTGCCCGTCGAGGCTGAGATGGAGTACGCGCAGACGCAGCCCAAGTGGAACAAGAACTGGAAGGAGGGCAAGCTCTGCGTGTCACAGTACAAGTACGGCCGCGTCACCTCGGTCATCAATGACTCCCTCATGGAGTCTTTTCAGGGCATCACGGCTGCGATCTGCGGCGACTACTCCCCACACGGTGCCCACTCCATTCCTCATCGCGTGCTGTGTTGTGTGCGCGCGTGCGCCACCTCACTCTTGATGATTGAACAGAAAAGCGAAGAAAGCTGCAAGTCGAGCTGATCAAGCTGGAGCGGCTGGAGGAGGCGACGGATCGGGTCGACAGCCACTACGGCGGTGCAGGGCCTCGGCAGCTGCTGCAGATCATCCGCGCGCTCCTCCACTTCTTTCGCGCCGTGGCCTTGCGGCACATCGGCACCGAGCAGGAGGCGCTGGCTAGCAACGTCGCCTTCGTCGAATTCCTCACCAAGCGGCTGCACACGTCGTCCTTCTTCATCAGCTGGACCGAAGTGTCGTCCATGCTGCTCTTCACGCAGGAGATGCCGGGCCTCCTCTGCTCCCTGCTCGACGCCCAGCGACTGCCGCTCCTCCAGGCGCTCTTCCACACGCTCGAGCCGCTCATCAAGGACCTCGACTGGCTGCGCACCACCTACGAGAGCCTCCGGGCGGTGGTCGACCACTACTACGCCTCGCGCGGCCAGCAGCCGCCCGACGCGCTCCTCTCCTCGCCCCTGCCCTCGCCCATGACCCTCCCGCCACCGACGGTACCCCGAACCTCCACCGATCCGGCATCGACGCTCGCCTACCTGCCGCTCTCCTCTTCTTCCTTGTCCTCTTCGTGCTCTTCCTCCTCCTCGCCACCACTCCCCTCTTCCGCCTCTCCGCCCTCCCTCGCTCATCTCCTCGCCTTGTAAAGAAACTCTCATCTCGTGTGAATCTAAATACCTTCCAAGAATTGGATTGCATTTTCTATTTTAAATTCAATTACTTTACGAAACAAGTGGAGGACGCAGCTCTCTGCATCTAATTGATTGAGGCCTCGGGTTGAGGTGGCGGATCGCGGGCCATGTCGTCGTTGGGATTTCACAAGCAAATCTTTGCCGATTTGCTGGAGGAGGATGGACTGCTGGCGATGGGGAAAGGATTGGGGCTGGAGCGCATCGTGGCCAGCTTCGTGCGGCTCTACTGCGATCCCAAGCGGCTGGTGTTTGTCCTCAACGTGCGGCCGGGCAGCGACGACCACCTGCACCTCATGGAGGACCTGCGACTGCTCGATCCCTCGATGCAGCATCCGCCCCACACCGTCGCGGCCGAAGAATCTGCCGAGCAGAGGTACCCCCGTACTGCCAATGTGCTGGTGCCGCCTGGATGTTGACTTCTTCTTGTTGCCCTTGTGCTCTCCCCTCAGAGGGGTTCTGTACTTGCGAGGCGGAGTGCTGTTCATGTCGTCGCGCACGCTCGTCGTGGACCTGCTCACCAAGCGTGTGCCGACCCACCTCATCAGCGGGCTCCTCGTATGCCAGGCTCACAGGTATACGCTCACATCTCGTGTGTGCGAGTGTGGCCGGGGCACCTCCCTCAGTGGCGTTGCTGATGTTTTGCCACTACCTGGCGGTGGCCTGCAGGGTAACAGAAGCATCGACGACGGCCTTCATCCTGCGCCTCTTTCGCGAATCAAACAAGGTGCTGCCACTGTGCCACTGTGCCACTTGTGGCGCTCTCGCTGTTCTCTCAGCTGATCGTACGGCACGGGTGGTACATAGACCGGCTTCATCAAGGCCTTCACGGACTACCCTGAGGCCCTGGTCAGCGACTTCTCGCATGTTGAGCGTCTCATGCGCCACCTCTTCGTCACTCGCCTGTTTTTGTGGCCACGGTATCGAACCTACTCTCCCGTGTTGTCTTTGATGATGACGTGGTGGCAATGTGCTGGTGTGTGTCGCGTTGCTACAGGTTTCACATGACCGTGGGGGAGTCGCTCGAGCGGCACCAGCCCGAGGTCGTGGAGCTCCAGCAGCCCATGACGAAAGCCATGGAGCAGTTGCAGGAGGCCATCGTTCAGGTGATGGATGCGTGTCTTCAAGAGCTGAAGAAAACGAACCAGGTATGTTCACAGCGCTGTGCGCGTGCGTGCATGTGTCCATTTTCGCGGTGCGTTGCTGACCATGACCTGCGTGGTCAGCTGGACGTGGACGAGTTGACGGTGGAGAACGGGCTGTTCAAATCCTTTGACACCATCATCAAGAAGCAACTGGAGACGATCTGGCACCAGGTGGGTCCCAAGACCAAGCAGCTCATATCCGACCTGGGCACCCTTCGCAATCTGCTCACGTAAGTCTACCCTGCCGTCATCTTGTGCAGGCCTTATATGATTGAGTTTGACGATGTGTGTGTGGTGTGTCGTGTCGTGCCGTGTGTGATGCAGCTATCTGGTGACCTACGATTGTGTTACTTACAACCGGTACCTGGAGACGCTGCGTACGCACGAGTTCGGGCAGTACTCCATCTGGCTGTTCCTGCCCGCCGCCAACCGCATCTTCACCGTACGCGCTTCCCTTCACACTCACATGGAGGAAGCCTCTTGCTCACCGCCCTACCAGTTGGCCAGGAGCCGAGTGTACATCAGCAAAAAGGTCACCAGGAAGCGCAGAGCCGAAGCACCTCCACGAGTTGAAGTGGTACGCTCAGCCCCCAATGCGCTGTGTGTTGCGTGTGTTGCTGAGCTCCATAAACACACACACACACATGCGTGGAATGTTAAGATCGCGGATGAAAGCCCGGCGGTGGACAGCGAGACAAAGGCCGAAGCCGAGCAGGAGACCCACACAACGGCCGCAGAGGCGGAGATCCGATACGAGCTCGTCGAGGAGACCGTTCAGGTGCCCATCCTCGAGGAGAACCCCAAGTGGCACCTCCTGACGGAGGTGCTCAAGGAGATCGAAGAGGCGAGTGGTGGGTCGGGCGGCCAAACGCTGATCATGGTCAAGGACGAGCGCACCTGCATGCAGCTGCAGGAGTACCTCGCGGTCGGGGGCAAACGGATGTACGCATAACCCTCGCTCCTTTGTGCCGTGCACACCGCCGTCTCATTGATCGGTGTGTGTGGTGTGTGGTGTGTGGTGTGTGGTGTGTGGTGTGTGGTGTGTGGTGTGTGGTGTGTGTTGGCCAGGCTTGAGCGACTGTTCGACGCCGACTCTGTCAACAGGGCTTTCTATCGACGACCCACGGTCGCGGAGACGTTTCAGTTTAGTTACAGCAACAACAAGCGGAGTACGCATCTTATCAGCATGGATGGACTACTGTGCCAGTCCAGCTGCTGACGAAAACTCGGAACACACACACACACACACAGGGAAAGGCAAAGGGAAGGGACGCGGTGGCGGCAGTACACAACGTGTCACACTAAACTTGGCGCACGCTTCAGTCCCCGAGCTCACTGCCGTCAATCTCAGGTAGGCCTGCCCTGTTGCTTGCCAATTCGTTTCCGCGGCTCCTGACGCGGCGCGCGACACGCAGCTTGGCGGAGCAGCAAAAGAGCGCGATGGAAATAAAGGAGGGTGAGCCGGGCATGGAAGCAGAACTCGCCGCAGCCCAGCTGCCGCTGCCGAACCAGCAGTACGACCCACTCTGCCTTTACTCCAATCGGATAACGCGTTCAAACAAACAAACAAACAAACAAACAAGCAAACAACAGCAATTGACTTAAGGATTCACAACCACCAATTTATATTTTAGGTATTCGCTGTGGACGGACGACTTTATCTTCAACACCGACCAGATCGAGATACTGGCGGGTCCGCAGGTACTCATCCACCCGCTGGAAGGCGCCAACAGGCACCTCCTGCGCGACCTGCGGCCGACCTACGTGATCGTCTACGACGCCGACATGAAGTTCACTCGCGAAATTGAGGTGCTCCACGCCATCAAGTTCAGCTTTCCTGTACCCGGGCTGTTGCTAACACCACTTCACTACGCACACGTACTGCACACCCACCGCACACGCACACGCACACGCATCACCGCACGCGCGCGGCGCAGATGTACAAGGCGAGTAATCCGGGCATGCCGTTGCGTGTGTACTTCCTGACGTACGAGAACTCGGTCGAGGAGCAGCGCTACCTGTCGTCGGTGCGCAAGGAGAAGGAGGCCTTCGAACGACTCATTCACCAGAAAGCGGTACCGCGTTGTGTGTTGCGTCTTGCGTGCGCCGCATGCGTTACTGATGGTGGTGGTGTTGATGACGTGGCGTGACGTGACGCACTATCTGCAGACGATGACGGTGATCAAGGGCCAAGACGGCAAGCTTGAGTGGAAGGAGGAGGACCTCGGTCTCGGGGAGGAATCATACAACAGCCGCAAGGGACGCAAGATCCTCCCCAAGGAGAAGGGCAAGGTAGACCTACACGGCCGACACGGCAAAATCGCCAAAAGTGCTCCGTGACACACACGCGCGCGCGCACACACACACACGACACACACACACACACATGACACACGACACACACACAACACTCAAACACGGAATGTCAACTGCGGCATGTTAAGATATTGGTTGACTACCGCGAATTCCGGAGCACGGTCCCGTCGTTCCTCCACCAGAAAGGCTTCGAGGTACCCAACAGCGCCTGGTCGACCTGCTGTGCGTGCGTGCGTGCGCGTGTGCTGCGTGTTGCGTTCCGCTCAGGCCGCTGTGCGTCTGTGTGTGTGGTACTAGGTGGTGCCCTGCCATCTCGAGGTGGGCGACTACATTCTGACGCCCGACATATGCGTGGAGCGAAAGAGCATACCCGATCTCATCCAGTCCTTCCACTCCGGGCGACTGTACGCACATTCCCCGCATTCCGCCTCTAATGCGCACGCACGCACGCACTCTCCGCTCCGCTACGTAGTCTCACTCTAGCTCGTTTGTGCGCGTGACCAGCTACAACCAGACCGAGGCGATGATGCGGCGATTCAAGACCTATGCGCTGCTGATCGAATTCGACCCCGAAAAGCCGTTCTGCCTCATGGTATGCCCGTGCCCTCTCATTCATGGTTTCACACACTCTCACGACACGACCAACGACACGACCAACGACACGGCGGCCGATAAAGCCCGACTCGGATCTGGGCGAGGAGATTCGACCGGGCAGTCTCTCGTCGAAGCTGGCCGTCCTAACCCTCTCCTTCCCGCGCTTGCGGCTCATTTGGTGCCGCTCACCGCACGTCACCGCCGACATGTTTGATCTGCTCAAGGTCCCACTCCTCCTCCTCCTCCGCTCGATCATCGTTTTGGCGCTGACGTGTGCTCGTGCGCGCATCAACTACAACCACACCAGAGGGACAACCCTCAACCGGATCCGGCCACTGTGAATGCCTCGACAGGCGAGGGCGTCGAAGATCAGTCTGCCTTGGCGCCCAT